TTGTTGGGGCATTGATGATGCTGGCCTCAATCACTTGTGTATAAGGTGGTATTTTCTGGTTTTCTGCTTTACTATAAAATTTGGTGCAAAGAAAATTTAAGCCTATATAAGCATACTTTGATGCATCAAATTTTGCTCTAGTTTTAGTGTCCATTTTTCTTACTTGAGTTGTTGCTTAAATGATTGCCATGTAGTGATTCTACCTTTCTTCTATATTAATAATTGGATTTTCTACTCTAAGGAAAAGATTTCCCTTCTCCCACTTATCTTTTTACTCATCTGTGTCTATGACTGTGAGCTCCTATTATATTCACTAAAATATGATGGGACACAATCAGTGTTCATCTGATGATGGGATTGTCTTGGTTTGGGTTGCAGGAGGCCTGTCTAGCTCGTGGTTCTTTGAGCACAGCCCTAGTTTGCTGCACAACCAGATGGTCCAGGCTCATAGTGAACTGCATGTCCAGCCTGGATCTGGCCCTTTGATGGAGAAGCCCTTGTTCCTAGTATTTAGAAGCCAAGATCTGGACACTTGGTTAATGTGTTAATATTATCTCTTAGTTATTGTGGACTGATCAGTCCTGCAACCTCCCAAATGACTGGATGGCAAAGGCTAAATGAAAGAGTAAAGTGGTATGATTTTAGGGCTCCAGGAGGTTCAAAACCCTCTAACAGAGAACACAAGATTCTCTGGGGACTGAGCCCAAGATCTTCTCTGGGCAGCCCATATTTATTTAGTTATCAAAACAAGGGAGGGGAATACTGAAGAAAGGCAGGACTCTCTCAAGGATTTTTCCAAGTAATACAAAATGTCACTTTAGGAGAAATATGTTATCTCCAGGAAGGTCTCCACCCAAGAGTGGGATGCCAGCTACTGCAGTCTTTATCTAGTTAATTGGGGTTGGAGCCAGGCATCCTTAGCAGCTGTGGCCTTGTCTTGTCCTTTGAGGCATCATGGCATCACAGGCCACCACAGGCTTCAGCTGGAGCAGTGACTCACAGAGGTTCACTTACTATGAGTCCATGGCCCATCTCCAGACAAGGGGCCTAGGCCTGGGACAGACTCACATGCAAACATGGAAAGGCAATTGGTTAATTTAAATCCTGCTCAGAATATCTATGTAGTGGTCTCTGCCACTTGTTGAATTCCCAATTTCTAGAGTGTTGACACTGCAGGCCTTCTTAGGGAATTGAGTCAGGAACTATATTTGGGTGTACATGGGTGTGTGTATTTTAAAATGAACACACACACACATACTTTCTCTTCTGTATTTACTTCTTGCTCACCTATCTCTCCAATATCATTTATGGATCTATTTCTCTCTAGTATCTATGTACTGAACACCATGAATTCACAATGACCCATTCAATTCCCACCAAGCACCATAGGGCTCATTCTGGCTTCCCATCCTTCTCACATCTGCAGCTGGATTTTTCAGCAGTGAGACTCACAGCTTCAGTTGGCCCTCATGGTCTCCTTCCTGTTCCTCTCGCTGTAGGTCCTCATGGTCTCCTTCCTGTCCCTCTTGCTGTAGGTAGCAGTTTTCCCTTGGCCACAGACTTCATGCAGGTACCTGTGACAAATTCTTGCTGCCTTATCAGTTACATCATTATCCTTTAGCACAAGAACTTTCTCCATGTTTGTTAGCTCCTTGGCCCCCCACTCCCTATTTATAATTTAATGGATAGAGAGGCGCTGACTGTTTTACCCCCTGGGTGAGATATAATCATAAGCTGATTTGATACAGATTAAACTGACTGCGTCTTCCATTAGTGAATGAGCGAGAGGCTATAGTGACAGAACTGACTACTCTCCAGTGCTTTCCTGATGTAACTCTTTGCAAATAACAGCAGTGTTTGAATATAAGTTAACTCTTCCTTATAAAGAGTCCTCTGCGTGATCACCGTGGTGCCTTTTTCACACTCTAATTTCAGTAGTGGGTTTTGCAACTTTTGCAAAGATGTGTATGAGGCTGTTGGTTTTTCACAAAGGCCGCTTCTTTTATTTTCATGAAAGTATCTGAACGCATGAGACTCACGTGATTCAGGGAAGGTAAAAACCACACCAGCAAATAGCACAGAGGTGTGCAACATGCTCACAGAAGGCAGCGATGCTGTGCAAATGCCTCTGCCAGCCCTGACACTGATGGGACCGCTCTATCGCTGTCAACATCGGAAGGATGCTCCGCGATGGTTTGCTGGCTGGGCAGCTGGCTGTGGTTTCACTGGTGCTCCATGCTGTGCTGGTGATGCAGTGGCCCTGTGGCTGTTAGGTTGATAGGGCAAGGGAAACTCCATTTTATTTCTGTAACTCCATATTAGAAGTCACTTAAACTTTAGATGAAGTTGATTCTCTACTCTCTCCTTTATACCTAACAAAAGGAGAACAGAGATATAAAATGAGAAACCAATAGTTAAAACAAATTGTAGGTAAGCAAAAAGTTAACTGTCCTAACAAACCCCTGGGAAATGTAAACCTCGTGACCAGGATGTGGCATTTTTGTAAAATTCCTAAATGAGGTAACATGGTTACCATGGTTACTTAGAAAAGTATGAAAACCCAGTACAAAGTTCTCTGGCAGCCGACATCTTGTTTTTCTGACTCTTGGTCAGTGGTGTTGGTCATGCACTTCAATAAAGCTTTGTTTGTCCCCACATTTTTGGCTTCTTATGAGTACCTATCTTGTTGAATCTCACCATGTCAAGGTCTATGGCAGCCTTGCTCATGCGCTGTAGACCACACTGAACAGGGCTTTTGTATTAGTGAAGCTTCTGTGTTGGTTCTGCACTGTCTTGTTAGGAGAAGGTGTGGCCACAGTGCTGCCTCACCTTGACACTCTTATGTGTCCTTCTTCTGTCTCTACTGCTCGAGTTTCCTTATGATGTTGTTTTACTCACTTTCTTCATCACTCAAAGTATCAGACACCCATGCTGAAAAGGGGTGAGGTTCATTTTGGCTCATGTTTCGGTAGTCTCAGTCCTTGCATGGGTTCCCAGGCAGGAGGGCCTGGCACAGGGGTCTGGTGGAGGAGAGCTGCTCACCTCATGGCAGACAGGAAGCAGGGGGTCAAGGCGGGAGCCCGGCAGGGAGATGCAACCTTCTGGGTCAAGCCAGTGACTACCTCTTCTGACCCATCTCCTAACAAGTCAGCTGTGAGCCCTCATAATCCAAGCACCTTCCAAAGTCCTGCCTAGGGTAGCATGAGGCTTCAGGGGACATCTAGGTAAACCATCACAGAGGCGATGGCCCCAGAGAGTGGAGGTGCCCTCAGGAGAGAAGGAACACATAACAAGTTAGCACAAGAAGTTCAGTAGATGCCCACCTCTTCAAAGCTATTTCTACCAATATGCCTCATGTTCTGTTCCTCTGCTCCTGCTCCTGGAGTTGCATTTGCTTTTCAGACATTACAGCACTCGGAATACAGAAGCTTTATGGCTGCTATAGTTTGAACACAGAGTGTCCGCAGAGGACTGGGTGCTACAGGCTTGGCCCCCATCCCAGGGTGCTGTTGGGATATGGTAGAATCCTTAGGAGTGGGTCCAGTAGAAGGAAATTAGGTCTCTGGGCTCTTGTGGGGGATATCAGAACCCTGGTGTTTTCTCTGTCACTCTCTCTTGTTTCTTTTGGTCTCCAAGCCACCACAAAGTGAGCAGTTTTCTTCTATCATGTGCTCACACCATGAGGTTTGGCCTCACAAGGCCCCCAAACAACAGAGCCATACGGCCATGAACTGAGACTGCTGAAACCATGAGCTTAAATCAGTCTTTCCTCCATATAAGTTTCTCCTTAGAAGTTCTTTAGGACTGTTGCCTCAGAGATGGAGAATTAACCCGATACCTATGGCTCACCTTTATAATCCTTGGTGTGTTTCAATTGAACTTTTGCACAAAGAACAAGTGATTATTTTGTTTTGGGGCAAATATGAATCATTTGGGCTGTGTGGTTAGTGTGAGAAGCCACTAATCAATCAACAGACATGGTGGTCTCTTCCCATGATTACAGTAACAGTAACACAGAGAAAAATATGCCTAGAGCTTTTCTCAAATATCAGGACTTACAATGCTTTCTGTCATACCTATTTGTGAAGGTTAAGGGTTCAGCTCTGAAGTACTTTCTTTGGTCTTAGAATTCCAGCAGTGTTTTTTGAACTGGTGGATTACAGTTACCTGGGAGTTGTTGATAAATTCTGCTACTGCTTTCTGGATAATTTTCCTTTTCTTCCTCCTCTCTCCTTTCATCTCTTCCTTTTTGACTTTCTCTTCCTTCCATCCTTCCTTCCTTCCTTCCTTCCTTCCTTCCTTCCTTCCTTCCTTCCTTCCTTCCTTCCTGTTTTCTGTCCCTTAAAAAGTCTCTTGATCTCAAATCTGATTTTATATCCCCATGAATCTTTTATCATCAGTCCTCTTCTCTCATTCTCTCAAGACACCATGTCCATATGTTCTGGCCGACCATCATATATGCGTTTCAGTTTTACAGAATCAGAGCTATTTCTTTGAGTGTATGTAGCATTTCCTTCTCTATCTTTGACTTCTGTTCTCATAGTTATATTTACTTTGAGCTATAGTGAACTGGGTTCCATAGTAGGAGGGGCAGAAAGACCTGAGCTCATAATCAGCCCTGCAGCAGCTGTGTCCATGTGTACTTAAAACTGGTGCACGTGTGTGTATGTTTTATGCATAGTAATACATATATCAATGGTTTATTTAAAATATTAAAAAGTACAGTGAAGTATGGAGCTCATCCCAAACCAGCCATATAGCAAAAAACAAGCATATATTTTAGAATATAACTCCACAGAGCTAGGATCTTGGACTCTTATGGTTGCAGACACCTAACACTAGGTGCTAGCACACTATTGAGTAAGTACTCGATAAAATTGGGCCAACTCTTGGTATTGTTCTTACACCGATACAGCCCTCCCCACAGTGCTTTGGAAATTGAAGGTAAGCGATGTGTCTTGAAGCACACGATATGCTAAGTTTCTCTTGTCCTCTCCCAGGCATCCTGTTTGTCATGGTGGTGCTGCTGTATATCATCTGGGTCCAGCTGGTAGCTGACTTGGAGACCTATCGGAGCGAGAAGCTGAAGGACTGTCTGGAGTTCACCCCGTCCGTCCTGTTTGGCTGGTCTTTCTTTGTCGCCCCGGCAGGGATATTTTTCTCTTTGCTGGCTGGCTTGCTCTTTTTAGTGGTTGGACGGCATATTCAGTTACATCACTAAACAAACTGTGGCCACTGGCATTTCCTTGAAAGATTTTAAAACACAGCCTATTTTCTTTTTCATTTTATTCTAGAAATATCAGCATTTGGTATACCTTCCTACTCATTTTTTGGAATGAAGCATTGTACCTGTGATGTCCTCTCATAGTTAAGTCCTAGAATTGCTCCCAAAAGCGACATGTTCCCGTCTCACCTAAGTACTGTCAAGGACCCGATTCTCCAGTAGAGCAGTACCTCAATTTCCTTTTCATGGCACATTTTGGGATCCAGGCAGGTTGCATAGGCCCAGTAATACTGTACCATCACTTGGGGCAAATCAAGATATGGTTTAAAGTCTCCTTTCTTGACATTTGCTTCTGCTGCTAATTTAAAAACAAGATCTTGGAGACAAATTAAGGTGAAAAACATATCATCAGAGAATTTCTTTCAATTCTCCCCTACTCACATACCTATCCACTTATACATACCCTGAGTCCTGTTAATAAATGATTCACTATTTAAAAATAGATGACAGTTATTCTTGTTAGCAGGAACTACAGACCTCTAAGTTAAAATGGATCCTAACAAATAAAACTCAAAATATGTATTTTGTTTTTTCTTACCAACATTAATTTGCTAACCTAATTCTGTTCTCTTAATTGTGCATGGTCACACAAGCCTTAAACTATACTTGAAACTGGCAGATCTGTACACCAAATTTTATATAATACAAATGCAGATTTTATAAACTTAAAGTTAGTTAATCGTATAATGTAATATGGTTGAAAATGTGTAAAAGCTAAGCACCTCAACTCAGTACATAATTCTATTTGATATTTTGAAATTCCCATTTAAAAATTACATTGTTAAGGTGTTCAGTATATGAAAATTTACTGGTGAAATGTGCTTTGAATATTCTCCACCTATAAAGTTTTGAAATACTTTCATATGAGGGTTAGAATAGTCTTGCTTTGTGAAAAGAGTATAAAATATTAACTCTCCCCTAGATTTTATAGGTACTGGTTCTTCTGATCATTTTATGTCTTTAACTATTGCCCCTCAATTTCTTCCTCTTTACAATAGGCATATTAACATTTACCGATCTTCAATTTCCTTTACTTCCTAGAAGGGAAGATTTTAAAAAATCTTTTTGTTGGGGGGAAAATGCCTCTTTACTATTTGCTAGCATAGACATGTTGCATATCAGAGAAGTTCCACTGGCATGAATGTTGACTGGAATCAAACCCATCTAAGAGATGTAGGTATTTGTATTCTGGAAGCTTCCATCATGGTATTAGTGAAGAAACAGCAACTCAACACTAGGTACGCACTTTGCTGGAGACCCCTCCCTGTTTCCTTCAAGAGCTGGGGAGAGGAAAAGGCCGGACTCAGAGGCAGAGGACAAGAGCCTGGAGGATGCTCTGGCAGGATGGCGGTGGCTTCCCACCCTCCTGTGTCTCATGGAGAGCTTGCTTGACCCTTCTTTGCCAGCCTTCTATTCATCCTGAGGCCTGTGTGGATGGGAGGGGCCTGAGAAGTGACGGTGTCAGCTTTCTACAGACTCCTGAGGACATTCTAGTAATAGTTAGGACTCGCCTGTAACAATGATAAAAAGAATTTTTTAAAAGCTCCAGACTTTTAACTGTTTTCTCAAGTCATTTCGATGATTATCGTGAATGTTTTTGTGGTCCTTCTCCTTTGTCTTCTTTGGTTTCATTTTTATATTGCTTCATTTACTTCTTTGCCTTTTCAGCTTGATTATTAGAAAAAATACTTATTGGTTCTGTTATGCATTTGGACTGTGTTTGTTAGTAAGTTATGGCATGCCATTTAGGTTTCTGGACAATGCTTACATGTATTTGATTAGCTCATGTCATCTGAAAATATGATTCCTGTTCTTAGCATATTGGAATGGAACCTTTTTTGGAGTATTTTATGCCATTTAAATTTCATGTACAAGCTGCTTTTAGTAAAAGTCTCAGTATTTATAACTTTGGATGATTACCCTCACTTGCAATACACTGATGTGGCTACTGTGTGTTTATCATAACACAGCTAGCTGATGAGTGTGACTTTGACACAGACCCACATATTTTGAGCTTTTTATAGCTGCAATGTGTCGGCTACATCACATCCGCCTCCTGAGAGGGAGGAGTGAAGGTGAGTCATGTGTGTGACATCAGCGTGTGAACTATATTTAAATTTTGTAAATATGAGGTGTGATGAACCATGGTGAGTGTTCAAATTCTTTAAAAAGTTACAGTAAAAGACACAGACACAGTACCACTTATATCCCTCAAAATACCCCACTCTCACTTCAAGCACACTGATCCCATCATTTCTGGCTTTTTCTGAAGCAGTTCTGGAAGACTTCTTTCTTGAGTACCTTTTTTTTTTTTTTGGTCAAGGTGGGCTTAGAATGCTGAATTGATTCAAACTGCTTCCCTTGCATGGTATTTTGACTCTGGGGAGGAGCCAGAAGTCACATGGTACCAGATCTGGTGAATAAGGTGGATGAGGATACACTGTCATGTTTTTACCAGTTGCTTTTGCTTTGGATGACACTCAGGAGCAGTATTCACCATATTTTTGATCATACTTCTTAAGAACACTCATGAAAAGGACTTCCAGAACTGCTTCAGAAAGTGACAAGGACAATGCATTAAGTGTGTCTGAAGTGAGCAAGAGGAGTTTGAGGGGGATTCATGGCAAGATGTCTTTTTCTTTATTAAGTTTTTAGAAATTTGAACATTCCTGATATATTTTGTTCCCTCTTCACATACAGTACGTTGCTATCCCAGTCTTAACTATGACCTGGGATACTGCCTTTAGAAATGTCTGTGCTGTGTTTATTTCTCCATTGAACCCACTGATTAATTTTCGAAGCCTTCAAAGGAAGGGTGTAAATCTGTTTTCCAAATGTTGATTTTGCATCCTAAAGTTTGGATTGCACAAAAGTTATCCTTTCCCGAAAGAGTGAACAGACAGGGCAGCGAGGGACTCCTGGGCGATGGTGAGAGCTGTAGCTTCTCCAGTTTGCATTTGTTCCGTAGCTGAAGTTCGTAGTAGCTGGGAACAGCTACCCTAAAACCAGCGGGGAGGTCACGCTGTGAGGCTGAGCCCTGCCGCGAAGCGTAGGTGTGGACGCGGGGGATGTCTAGAAGGACTGCGTCCAGTAGGCTCCTGGCTACCATTGGTCACTCTAACCACTTGTCTTTGGAATATGGTCCCTGAATTTGAAAATGAAATGCATTGATAAAGGAATATGGTAAAGAGGGTATGAGAGTGTGGTGATTAGCTATCAGTCATCAGCAGAGTGTGTGTGGTGGGCAGCCGTTGCAATTACATGTTTGGGTGGAAAGACATAAACTGAGTGGTATAAATCAATCTACTGGAGCTAAGAAAATTTTAAAAAGTCTGTTTCTCTTGGGTTACAGTGTTTCCCTGGATGTTACTCTATTTGACGGAACTGATGAAGTTTTCTTCAACTCAACACATAATTTGATTTCTATTTTGTGAAAGTTACTACATAGGACTTATACGTGCTAGAGGTACTTGGCAAAAAAGAGAAGCTAGGAAAATTAGCCAGAGCTGGATCTGCAGGTGGGCAGGATGGTGGGAAAAACAGCAAATCTAGGTACAGGAAACAAATATATTCATGGGCAAAATAGCAAGCAGACCTGGTTTTGCTGGGACTGAAGCAGGGATAGGAGGTTTGTGAAACAAGATGAAATAAGAAACTAAAGTTATATTGGTTGTCTGATGGAATTAAATGCATGGAGACATGTTCTGAGAAATGATCACATGTAGGTGGAGAGATTCCAACAAGAACTTGAGGAGACAGTACCTTAGATAGGTTAAAAATCATGAAGGGTAGGGGAATAGCTTTCATAGCACACACTTCATATTGCATCCTTCATATTACAACAAGCATAGACTAAGCACAAGAGCCCTTCCTCTGATCAGCAGGGAGAAGAAAGAAAGCAAAATGTCCAGTTATGGAGTTCGGAGTTTTGGAACTGGCTACAGCAAGTCCCAGGAGCTGTCTTCAGGACCTTAGGATTGGGCTGCACTGGCTGTGGGGTCGCACGTATTGGAGAAATGACAACGGAAACATGCTAAGAGGTCTGCTTTGGCTCTTAAGATCATGTCCCTTATCCATAGGGTGTAGGTATTCTGCCAAGTAGATGTCCTGCGAACCCCAAGTTTGTGTCACCCACAGGAAGGCTTGAATGGCACAGTGGAAAGTTATGAACCTGGGTCTGAAGACCTGAAGCCCAAGCCTGTTTTCAGAAAAGGCAAATAGACAGTTGGGATTTGTAAAATGAGCGATCTCTGAATATGAAGAATCACATGATGGATCTAATCACTCTGTAACAGGAGTTAGGGTTCTGTTAGGCAGTAAGGACGGCAGCCCCATAATGGAGCCTCAAATGGAGTCTTCTGAGCCAGCACCCTCCAGGGATCTTACCAAAACATCAGCCAGGTGGCCTCTGGCTGTCTGGGTCCTCCCGAGTATAATCAGGTAGGACATGGGCTCAAGGACACATGGGCCCCACATGGGCACTGCATGAACACTGCATAGTTTGCACCTGAGAAACATGTAGACTCCGATGTTATCAACGCATGAACTCCATTCTAAACCCTGTGAAAACTCCTAGACAAGGAGCCCTCATGAGCGCCCTGCTCAGAAGCCCTCCCAGCTAGCGGGAGCTCTACTCCCTTGCCTTGACAGCTTCTACGTAAATTTGGTTGCACCCTACCTCCTCTGCTCATGGTTTCATTCTTTGACACCATGGGACATGACCTTGGTGTTCTGGTAACAAATCTATTTAATCTGGCCGTCTGTCTAAAGTATATAGATAATTTGACGTGTACACAGATAAATTGTACATGTGAATATATATTTATGTATAATGTACTTTGCAGTGGCTGAATGAGAGTGAGTTTGGGGTTCTCCTGGCTCAGTGAGTGATGGACTCCTCAGGCAGCAAAGAGTCCACACTGCTCTGTGGACCCTGCATAGCCGGAATCATTGGCTTCCAGCTCTGGTGCTGAGCACCTGTGGCTACGTCAGGAAGAGGGGCCTTCCCAGATAGAATACGTGCACACACAGCACAGATTGTAATATTCTCATGCTGCGGGAGTCCCGGAGTTATTATGACAGAATTCACTGAAAATGTAGGTCGATTTTTCCTTTACATGGGAAGAGAATTCCTTTATTTCTTTTCTTAGTGTTTCTCTTTTCATTAATCCTAAAAAGAGAATGTCACTGAAAAAGCTCACGGATGCTTGTGGGTAGTATTGGCATTAAAAACTCTCTAAGCAAATAGGTATTAAACAATATAGCTTAAAAAAGTGGTGTGTAAAAGATAATGCTTATGTCTTCATATCTTAGCACAACATGCATGAAGATACTAGGGGAAATGTGGATATAATTTTTGGCTCCAAAAAGTGCAAAGGAGTTATCTTCAAGAATGCTATGAGAGTGTGCAGGTGTCTTGGGGAAAAGTTCAGTAGGAAGCTGGGGTGATCTCTGTGTGGATATCTATGTACCAACCTGCCTGTATTTATATGCATATACACATCTGTGGTCTGTGTGGATGTGTGTATGGGTCTGGGTAAACCTGTACATATATTTGATTGTGTGCATACACATATACATATGTCTGAATACACACACAAATGTATAATATGTATATTTATAAAAATATTTTATACCCTATAATAATACGTGTTTGCATATAAGAAATGCTACCTTACATGGTGATGTACACATATCCAAGCACCTATACTTCACAAGCATTTTGGAGCTCCTAAGTTTTGCTGAAAAGGAGGGCTCACTCATCTTCATGTTGTTGCTCACCTGTCCTGGTAGAGAGTGGGAAGGGATCTCCAGGGCCATGTCAAGGGCTCTCTTCTTGGATCTAGAGGACATGAGGGTGCACGTGTGCAATGCACCCATCCTATTTCTCTGTAAGTGCCCAGTGGTAGTAGCCATGTGTTTGAATATCTTTGCTGTACCACCTAGTAGTTTCTAGCTCTTGACAAATGTTGATATAGTAGTTACACTTCTTATTTTTTGAGAAGAGAATTTCTTTCTGGCTACTTGGGAGACTGAGATAGGAAGATTGCAAGCTTGAGGCCAGCCTGGGCTACGTGGCAAGACTGTCTCAAAATAAAATAAAAAGGACTGGGAATGTAATTTGGTGCCTGAGTTACTTTTCTTGTTGCTGAGACAAAATTCCCAACAACCACAAGTTAAGGGATGAAAGGTTTATTTGGCTCACAGTTTGTGGAGGTTTCAGTCTATAGGCAGCTGGCTCCAAGGCAGGGTGGCAGAGCAGACAGGCATGGCAGAGGAGAAACAGATCGTGGTGGGCAGAAGGTAGCAAAGCAGCCAGGGGCACTACAGCTATTTCTATCCTATATCTTATCCAGGCTATTTAGGGTGGGAAACATTCACGCCCTTAATGTTAGTGCCCTTGATCCTGGTGTTGCACCATGAATCAATCCAGCAGCACGTACTCTAGATCCAGCCACCTCTGGGAAAGCCCCATGCCTGCCTAAGGCTTTGGGGGGTATCTAAATGCAAACCATAAATGTGGGCAGGGCACTTGTCCAGAATGCATGAAACCCTGGGTTTTATTGTTGCATTTGAGGGAGAAGGAGAGGGAAAGGGAAAGAGATATTTATCCTTTCAGTCTCCCTGCAGAAGATGAATTTCCTGTGTTTGAATCACTTGTAGAGATGCTTGTAAGGTATGGTGGGAAAGGAATGAGCTTGAATCCCAATTCTGAATTTTAAACTTGTAATTTGACAAGTTCTTCCACCTTGCTTTGAGTCAGTGTCTTCATCTACAACATTCACCTTACTCAACAGACAGGAATTGTGTGCATGCTATGCCTCAAAAATGATGCTAGATATTGACTATCAGAATCCTCCAAAAAAAAGTATACAGTAGGAAAAGAAAAAAATGTGTAAATATTTT